CCCAAGCAGCCCGCTGCTCAGGGCAGCACCTCCCTCGCTGGCTGCTGGGTCCCTGCCCGTGTGCCGCGGAGGCCTCCCCGCGTGGCCGTGCCAGCAGCAGCCGGGTGGGCCGGGAACGCTGCCTCACCTTGGTTGGAGCTGTTGGAGGGGAGGCGGTCGGTCTCCTTCAGCGTACGGAAGTGGACGCGTTTACTGGCCTGGCTTTCCCCGTACAGGCCGATGCTCTGCACCTGGATGATGTAGTCGGCGTCCTCCGCCAAGTCCCACAGCACGCAGGCACGGTTGGTGGTGTTCACCTCCCGGATGAAGCGCTGCATCTGCCCATCTTGCCGCTGCCGGAGTGAAGAGCTGTCATCCCCAGGAGGCTGCTCCCAGCTGCACCAGGCACAGGCCCCTGTCTGCAGGGCTGTGCTGGGCACAGTGCCCTTCCTCCTCCCTTCCCGGGCAATCCTCCACCCCTGGGGTGGGCCAAGCTGGCCAGCACTTTGCTATGCAGCATCCCAGTGCAGCCCCAGAGCCAGGCACCTCCCTGGAGAAGCCACCATCGTCTGGGGCTGTGGAGGTGGAGCAAGGCAAGCAAAGAAAGGCTATGTCATGGCTGAAGCACCATCCTTACCCAGAGAAATTGCAGGGAAGCCACTGGAGGGACAGCTACCCCCAGTGCAACCAACGGTCTGCTGCCTTCCACCAGGATGGATGGCTCAGACAGGGTGCCCTGGCAAGGGTGGCTCAACAGCAGAGGCGTCCTCAGGCAGGTGCCAGAGGAGCTCCAAACTGCAGCAAAAGGGCTGACATAGGAGCATGCTGCTTATCAGTGAGATGGGTCCCCAGCCCCCTGGGGACAGAGCCTGGATACCTGCTGTAAGATGGCATAGCCGATGACCACGTCTCCTTCTGGGACGTCCCAGGAGACTGTGGCAGAGTTTGCCTTCAGCTGCGTCACAGTCACGTTGACAGGGGACGGTGGCCTGTCTGGGTGAGCCAGGGATGGACCGAGGCAAGGCACAGGAAAGAGGCAAAAGAAGATGTCTCAGAACGGGCACTCGCCCCTGCACGCCACCATGCAGGGCCTCTCCCACATCTGCCCGTGGCAGAACATTGGCCAGGGCTACAGGGAGCAGCTTCTCCAGTGCATCTGCCCCCAGGAGAGGGGTGGCACAGCAGGTCCGCAAGGCTGAGCCCCCACCGGCAGCCACACGAGCACGGCACGGAGCTTACCGGGCCGGTGGGCAGCTGCCCGCTGTGTGTGCAGGAGGTTTGCAGGTACAGAGCTGCTCCCTGCCTGTGCAGCTACCCCTCGGTGGCACCCGCCGGCTTTGGCAGCCTTCGCTCGCTGGCCGGGACTCCTCCCTGCCTGGCTGTTGGTGAGAAATGTGCTCACCGCACACCTCGCCCTCTGCAGTGTCCTACAGGGGGGAAGGAGGACAAGCTCCTGAGGCACCTGACTGTCTCTTCTCTAAAGAGCTCAACTGCAGTGGCAGACATAGCCCATTGCTCATAATGCAGGTCCCACACAAAAGGGGTTAGCCGTGCTGACCACGTGCCCAGGCTGCCAGACCCAGTTAAAGACACAAAGGGCCCCATTAGGCTCCTTCCGCCTTGCAGACACCGAAATGCATGAAGGCCTGTCCTGAGCAAAAAAGAACAGAGTTTAGCAGACTGTCGTGGCCATTTAACCAGTCCCTGCAGCTCAAAAGTACGTGAGCGGTCCCCACGGCCTGTCTCGGAGCGCTGCAAAGACCCTGCCATCGGAGAGGAGGCCGACATTCCTGTCAGCTCTTCACGAGGGCGTCTGCTTGCAGATCCGAGGGACCCCCACTGCTGCTCGCACGTTCACCCATTGGGAAGCTCACGGCGTTCAGCTCCAGCACCAGCAGAAGCAGGGCTGCCTGGCCTGACAGGCTCTGGCTCAGCCTGGGCACAGAGTGGGTTCTTGGCAGGGAAGTCCTGTGTTTCTGTAGGGTCCAGAGAGTCCAAACAAATCCTACATTAATGCAATTCTTCAGCCAAGACTGTGATGGTAAAATCAGGCTCGTCTAAGCTCTGGGGCTGCCCTGTAGATGTGCACATCATGAATGCCTGGCACACCACCCAGAAGTGCGTAGGAAGCAGCTCAGACACAGTATTTATATATCAACTGTGACAGAAAAATGGGGCAGCTTGGAATAAACACACTATGCAACTCAATCTGGCCACCTCATCTGCCTGGCATGACTCCCTGCTCTGGAGTGGGAAGGAAAGCCCAGTGCAGAAGGCAGAGCCGACCTGCCCAGCAGTGCAATGCCATTGCAACACTCGGCCGTTGCTACCCTTTGGAAAGCTGGCCTGATTGAAACCATGGTCTGCGCCATCATCATTCCGAGATGTCACAGTACTAAGAGTATGGCAGGATCCTACACAAGTTGACAGAGCTGCGCAGAAAGCCAAATTTTGCCTGGAAATTAGATGCAGGGGCACATGAAGAAAGACACTGAGGCTGCTGTTCACGTGTCCTCTCCCTGTAAACAAGACAGGGTCCTTCTGAAAGCTGCTTGTGTAGCACAAGTTCAACACTGTGGTTTATACAGGTAGAAAAAGAGCCCCAGAAAGCACCTGAGAACAAGAAAAAAGAAAACTGTAGACACCACCAACAACAACCACCAAGATTAGAGTGGCAAGGAAAGGCCATTTCTGCGGGTCAGCTATTTAAATGCATTCCTTTGCATTTGAGTATACCCGGCCCCATGACAGATCTAACAGGGAAAAAAAGGCTGTGATTCCCACTCTGAGAAATGCAGGTTTGTGGTCGGCCACGGGCGACTAGGACAGATAGGAGGGTCACCCACAGAGCCCAGGAAACACGTCCTCAGGTAGGCACTGGGGCCAAGTGCGTCCCCAACAGAAGCCTGCCGCATCACCAGGAGATAACACAAACAAGGACATTGCAGGATGCTGCGCCCTCCCTTCCAGAACAGAAGGCTGGAAAACTGGAAAGGATTCACAGATACACTCGAATATCTGTTGCTCCATGAAGAGCGTGTCTCCTTAGAGTTTTGCCAGCGGGACTCAGGTTCATCACTCCAACCTGCGGAAGGGAGTCTCTGAGCCACGTCCCTACCTGCACACCTCCCACAAGCCCACAGCAAAACAGGCCGAATAAAGCTGCGCTCCCCAGACCTGGCCCCTGGCGGAGGCACGCGCGTGCTGCGTGCACAGGAGCCGATCTCCCCACAGACGTGGCCTGGTTTTCCACTCCAGCTGCGGCCAGTCTGCACGTCAGGCACACAAGCCACGGCGGAGCTGTAGACAGCACACATCAGCCGGCACAGAGCCGCTTCCTTGCACTGCCCCAGGCAGAAGCATCTCGCAGCGCGTGCCTGGGTTAGGGGCAGCAACATTTCTGCTAGCCTTCAGGCCCAAGGACAGTTGTTCAAGGCTACCGCTGTGCTAACAAACAGGATGAGGTCAGGAGCAGCCCAGGAACCCAGTGCTGGAGACTGGTCCCAGGAACTGTTTCAGCCTGAACCAGCCAGCTTGTGCCCAAGCCGCTCTTGGGCATGGCTCAGGAGTTAGCACAAGCCATGAACCGTTCCTAGTAGGTAGCACTGAAGTGCTCCCCTCTTTGGAACTCGTGAACTAAGTGCTATGGATGTGACCAGACACTGCCAGCTGGCCCCAGGACAAGAACAGGACCTGGTGCTTCACAGGATACATCTACAGTAATAAATCAGGTAGCTTTTTATATCTAACAGATGAGAAGAGGTCTGAACATGCCCAGAGTGGGCAGTTGGACTTGCCAACCTTTAACTGTATGTGAGGACATTAAAGGCAGGCTCTGGCATCTCTGCACTGTAAAAGTCTGTGGATGGAGCCTGTAGCTGGCTCCCTGCTCTGCACAGAAATTTTCTAGGCTTCTGCAGGAAGCCCAGCCTGGCCCAGCCCAGGTTTTCACGCTGGGGATGCTGAGATGTGGCCGTAGGGCTGAGTCACTCTACAATTTGAGAACAAGGGCACTGCACTGATCCACAGGTCACGCTGCTGGGTCCACATGGGACTG